CTTCTGGGTTAGATAATAATCAAAAATATTTTTAATGGACTCAGTAAAATATCCAGTATAAAAATATATTTGGTAATGGTATAGATTAGCCTATCACAATTTGTAACCACAAAATTTAGTAGATAAAAGAAGGATTAGTACAGTGAAAGGCTGGGTGCAATGGTTGATTATTTGGAGAGGAAAAATCTTTATAGAGACTCACTTTCTAATGTACATTGAAGTTGCAGATGTATTAAAAAGTGAGAAATACAAACTAAAAAAGTATAGTAAAATTTAAGAGGGTTTTTATTGTACCACTGGCTCCATAGTGCTCTTCATATTGACACAGAATAACTTGAGAAAGGAAAAATGTTGATAGAAGTGGTGACGTAAAATCTGATAAATGGTGTCAGAGAACAGCATACATGGGAACAAGTATTTTGTGGAAAGTGGAAATGCTTTTCAAACTGAAGTTTACATAGAGTAACTTGCTTAAAGTCTCTCTTGTCAGATTTAAACACAAATCTGCTGCATTTAAAGTTTGTAAATTTATTGAGAAATATAGCATATCTGTTATTATTAAGGAACATTTTTGCAAAATTTATAAAGTGATTGCTTTGGGTAGACATTCTGTGCTGTACCTTTTCAATTGTTTAACTTTCTTAACAGACTGTGTTAGTGTTGTAGCTACAGAAATAAATCAATTTTTGAGAAATAACTAGAATTGAACTAGTAAGAAGTGACTTGTAGGTAATTTTATCATCTTGATACTTAAATAATGGTTATGAACCCTCCAGCCTGAAATACATACATATGTGTGTATTACATTAAAAAATAGATAACGCTTAAGAAATTGTGGGCTTCTCTGTAGTAGTTAGTTCTGTAGACTTAACAGATTTTATGTTAAAGACTGAATGATTTACTGCAAATGACTTTTTTAAAAAACCATTTTGCTCCTTTCTCCCCAGATATTTTTTCTCCCCATATTTCAAATGACCCATCAGGCAATGATTTTTTGGATTTTTATTTCATTTACTGATCTATTTTCAAACAATTGAGTAAATATATTTACTTATGCTCTAGCCTGCAAATTAAGTCACTCTAAAAGAAGAGTTGAAATCAAGCCCTATTTAGAGACATTTTTCTATCTTATAATCTTATCAGGTACAGAGAGTCTCCATCTTCGTTTTATTCCTAAACCTGGTTATTCTATTACTATGTAATGTATTTGTTAACTCATGAAATATATATTGATCTAAATAGAGTCAGCTATAATTTCTAGCTCTTAGGCTAATCAAAGCACCAAAAAAGCCAAAATACCCTTCCTATCGAGTTATGTTCTGTGTTATGGAAGGAAATGGGTAATAAACGTGGTACATAATAAGTAAATGTGTAGTGTTATCCGTAAATGATAACAAATATGTAGCTACATAAAAGGGTGTCAGGAGTTCCTGGTGGTGATAGGGAGTGCATTGCAATTTTCAGTGGACAAATCAGTTTGGCTTCGTTGAAAAGATGGCAGACATGCAAGAAATTACTTAATAACAGCATTGTAGGCAGAGGGCACAGTGAATGCAAAGACTCTAGGTTAGGAGCATATCTCATGTGTTGAAAGAACGAGGGAGATTAGAGCGACTGAAGCTGACCAAGGGGACCAGTGGCAGATAAGATCAGAAAGCTAATAGTAGATGTCTTGGTTTCATTTCGTTTTGCTGTGATAAAATACCCCAACAGAAGCAAATGAAGGGGAAAATAATTTATTTGGCGCCATATTCTGGGTTATAGGCCCTCATTAGGAGGAAGGTCAAGGCCTCAGGTACTTGAAGTAGCTAGTTACATTACATCTACTGTCAAGAACAAAGAGCAATGAATTCATGCATGCATGCTAGTGCCTACCTTACCCTCTCCATTTTTATACAGTCCAGGATGCCCTGCTTAGGGAAAGGTCAAGCTCCTAATAAATAGGAGTATTCCCACATCAATTAACTTAAGATAGTCCCTCACACACATTCTCAGAGTCTAGCCTTAATCTAGACAGTAGTCCCTTACAGGTGTACCCTGGAGTCCTCCTGCCTCCTAGGTGTTAATGTCCATAATTGATTCTAATATCACAGGAGACAGGTTTTTGCAAAACCGTGGAAGATGGATTTCAAAGGAAGTTGTTACTTAGTCTGAGTGAAATGAAGATATTGTAGTGTTGAGCAGAGAAGTGATGTTCAGGAGATACTGGAAATTCATCAGTCTGCCTAGGGAGGTATCTTCTTGGACTGGGAAGAACAAGAAAGAATTTGCCAAGTGAAAAAGATTCAGTATTGCTTTGGTGGGTTTTGGAACTATTTCCTTTTATTATAATTAGGACAGTGTACTTTTAGACCAAAGTTTATATTTCTACTTAAGGTTAAAATTATAAACAATCTCATTAAGGAACTATTCCTTTGTGTCCTTTTGTTTTAACCATGCTCACTTCAAAATTTGATGTTCTAGTGTAATTAAAATTTAAAGAGTTCATATAGTCTGATATATTCCATTTTTACTCAAAAATCTAATTGGACTGTTATTGAAGCATGAATAATTGCATCCCATAAATTGCCTTGAACCATCCTGTATATTTATTATATTGAAATTCATTCTTTTCCTTTTGTTTATAAAGCTCTAGATTTAGCTCTGAGTGAAGTACAATATTAACTTCGGTTTTTAGTGACATACTTATGATCAAGTAGGAGAGATAGATGTTATAGTAATGGTATAGTAAAGGAAAAATGTCAACTCAATGAGTCCCAGATAATTACTCTATTTTCTACCTTTGTAGAAATTGTCTCCTTGGTTGATCCAATCATACTGCTTTCTAATTCATCCTCCTCAGTGGTACCTCAAATGTATTTTCTTTAACTCCCATAATTGGAAAGTTTGAATCACCAACTTGATTTACCTGGCAGCTCTGCATGTTACTGTTTTAGTATGTCATATCTCTTAGGGCTGTTGATAACTTTTGTTGAGAGCAAGATATTTTCTCCTATAGAACAGAATGCTCAATAGTTAGTGGGTAATTAAGTATTATAAAGGGTGATGTTTCAATTTTATTGTGTTTTTAGAATGAACAGTTCACTTTTCAAGAGGAGTTTTCCTTTTTTAGTTGACTCACAACTTTAATTTTTGTTTAAGGCAGTAACATTTTCTTACATGTAAAATATTATGTCAACTCTGATTTTTTTGTTTTAGACATGGTCTCTCTCTAACTCTAGCTGGCCTGAAGCTCACTATGTAGTCCAGATTGGCTTCAGTCTCACAGAGATCCACCTGCCTCTGCCTCCTGAGTGCTGGCATTAAAGACATGGGTCACCACACCTGGCTTATTATCAATGCTGATTTTTAAAAATATTTATGCTGTCTAAAGATTTTGACTACACTGTTTCTTGTCCTTGTAAAATAATAGTTTTGATATTTGAGTTATCGCCAACAATCTTGTTTTTGTACCTGAACAATGTTAAATATTTTCATAAAATTAGACATTTTGAGAATTTTGGACAGAAAGAATTAAAGTATATCTTGCTAACACTGTCATCAATGTTAAATGTCATTAGTTATTTTCTGTCAGTACAGACAGGTGAGTCTGAGATATCAGTGGTTGATTGTATCTGAGTAGGCTAGTTTGAATTTGCTTTTAAAGGATAGTTGATAACTTTTCTGTGTGCATAATAAGATAGAGGCCAAAGCATTACATGGTCTCTTACCAGGTCATTTCTGGGTATAAGGAAAATGTGCCAGAGGCTAAACTATAATGGAAACTTAATAGTCTTATAACTCTGTAAGTTATTGTAAAACCAGTTTAAACCTAAATATGCTAATTCATAACTGGTGAATCACTTTAGATATTCCTAGTTGTTAGATTATTGTGTAGCATTTATAGGCTAACAGTAGGCATATGCTTCAAAACTACAAAATGATGACTGTAATAAGAGCATAAAAGCTAAGAGTTTTTCTTTGAAAATGGTGTTGGTTTCAAACCTGTAAAGCATCTATCTTTGCATCTTTTGATCAGGTCCCAAGCAAATGTAGTGGGAGCTAAACATTTATTGAATGTGGGGGGAAAATATCAAGATTCTTTACCATATACCTGTGATATTGTTTCGTCAACTCTAGAGCATGTGTTGCTAATCTAAGTCTAGGTTAAATAGTAGGGTGTATATTTGTATTATATGCTAAATTTTTTTTAATGTTTCTTCAGATTAAATTCACTTGAGGAACTATACTGCTTGCTACCTATCTAATTTAGAAGGTATCTCCATTGGGGAACTCAGCATAGATTTATTGAACACCACCTTTGTCCATTAGTTATGTATAGAAAGACAATAAATACAGTAGTAATTTAGTGCGAAGAGAACATTTGGGGTTGTAGTCAATCAATGTATGATGTTGAGGACAGATCACCTTCAGCTCTTGAAAAAAAGCAGGGGCTCATGGTTTGTAGAAGAAAAGAACTCCTTAAGAATACTTGGCAAGGTCCCCAGGTTAATTACTATTTTTTTAATAGTGCAAGTCACTTCTCTGTTCACTGATGAAATGTTCCTGAGTCAAAGAGTATTCAACTTTGACTTGTTCGTTTAAAAAAAATTAACTGCAATCCAAATTTAGATCCTTTGGTAAGGAAACCTTATTTTCTTGGTGTCTTTAAAGAAATTACATATAGAATGCTTTTGTTTTTAAAGAACTCTGGCCTAAGAGTAAAGAAATTTTGGATTTAATCCTAGCTTCATAATTTTCTTGGTGACTTTGGACAGGTCATTTAACTGCATATATTTATTTATAATATGAGAATAATGAGGACCTATGTTATTTCATAGAGTTATATTTTTTTGTCAATTCTGAAGGCTTTAAACTAGGAGCCATGTATGTATTAGAAATCATCTTTATTTTCAGTAGTATGTGACAAATGGAAATAAATGAAATTCTTGAAATTTAATAATTTAAGAAACCTATTTTGCTATCTGGAGTACATTTATATTCCCCCATTTTCTTGGTAGCGGATACTCTGTTTTCAAGGAAGCTGAATGGGAAATACAGACTTGAGCGGCTTGTTCCAACTGCAGTATATCAGCATATGAAGATGCATAAACGAATTCTTGGACACTTATCATCGGTGTATTGTGTAACTTTTGATCGAACTGGCAGACGGATATTTACTGTAAGTCATTTTTAAAGTTGTCTTTACTCATAGATAGAACTGAAGAAACAATGCTTATAGGAGAACTTGATATAAAAATTTTATTTATTCTTTTAATGGGAAACTGGAAATTTGGGCAATTGTTAAAAACAGATTTTATTTAAATTTGAAAAGGTAATAAAAGACATGCTATAGTACAGTCACAGTTACACTACAGTCCCGTATGATGGATAAGTTTGTTTCTTAGCCTTGTATCAAATAGGCTGATTGGGCTTTTATAAAATTTCATTTAATGTTTTTCATTCTAAACCAAGGCCATTTTGTGAGTGTCTTAGTTTGTTTCTTCATTGCTGTGACAAAACACTCTGACCAGTACCAACTTGGGGAGGAAAGGGCTTATTTAGCTTACATATCCCGGGTCACAGTTCATCCAGGAGCCCAAGGTAGGAACTCAGGCAGGAAACTAGAGGCAGGAGCTGGTGCACAGACCATGGAGGAATGTTGCTTATTGGCTTGCTCCCCTGGCCCCTGCTCAGCCTGCTTTCTTGTGCAACACAGGCCCACCTGCCCAGGGGTGGCACCACCCACAATGG